TGCAAGGAAAAATGAAAAATGACTAAAGGATGATATAGGAAAAAGACGAAAAAAGAAATTTACCGAAAAAAGAAAAGAAGGGAAATGACCGGGTTATTACAATTTTATCACGTGGAACAAGATTATAAATCAATGATAATTTATATTCTACAAGATCTTAGAGAAATCTTTTGAGTTTTAAAGACTTACGTCGTAATGGACATCATATTGAGACCGCAAATGAAAGAAATGTAGAATATCTCTACATTACTTCCATTATCTCACGCAACAAACTATTACTAAAAAAACTCCTTATTTTCTTTTCTGGGTTATACTATATAACCATTAGGACAATTAAGTCAAATGCTGTGATACATAAAAAATCTTGTGACCCAAAACTTTTTATGCTTTGGCACGATTGATTTAGTCATCCGGGGAGTACAATGATGCATCAAATTATTGAAAATTTACATGGACATCCACTGAAGGATCAAAAAATCATGTTACCAAATAATTATCTATGTACCGCATGCTCACAAGGCAAGTTGATTATTAGACCATCCCTTTCAAAAGTCATTGTTGAATTTCCCCCATTTTTACGAAGAATTCATGGGGATATATGTGGGCCAATTCATCCAGCCTGTGGACCAATTCACTATTTTATGGTCTTAATTGATGCCTTAACATGATGGTCATATGTTTGTTTGTTTGTTTTCTACTCGTAATATTGCATTTAATAGACTTCTTGTTCAAACCATCAAATTGCGGGCATATTTTCCTGATTACCCAATTAAGACAATCCGTTTTGATAATACCGCTTAATTTTCTTCTCAAACTTTTGGTGATCGTTGTATGTCTATTGGAATTAATGTTGAACATTATGTTGCATATACTCATACTCAAAATGGTTTGGCAGAATCTTTTATTAAAACACTTCAATTAATTGGTCGTCCTTTACTTATGCGAACAAAATTACCTTTTTCTGCCTAGGGACATGTCATATTACATGGTACATAATTAGTTTATATACGACCTACTATTTACCATAAGTTTTCACCATTGCAACTTATTTTTGGTCAACAACCAAATATCTCTCACATACGAGTTTTTGGCTGGCTGTGCTATATATGTTCCAATTGCATCACCCCAATGCACCAAAAGGGGACCTCAATGTACACTTGGAATTTATATTGGTTTTGATTCTCCATCTATTATTAGATATCTTGAACCCCTGACAGGTGATGTCTTTAAAGCATGATTTGTTGACTGTCATTTCGATAAGGTTGTTTTCCCACCATTATGGGGAGAAACGGCGTAGCAGCAACGCGATATTACTTGGAATGCCCTGAAATTGTCTTATTTTGATCCTCGCACAAATCAATGTGAAAGAGAAGTTCAGAGGATCATTCACTTGCAAAATGTTGCAAATCAATTACCTGTTGCTTTTACTGATACAAAGAAAGTAATAAATCACATATACCAGCTGCAAATATTCCAGCACAAATTGTTGTCCCTGAGGAGCCTTCTATCAGTAGTGCAGCAAATGCATCTAAAACACGCTTAAAGCGTGGAAGACTAATCGGTGTAAAAGATACTGTTCCTTGCAAAAAGAAATCACAAAGTAAAATTGGCACTCCTAAAGAGGCTACAAAAATAACAACAGATATTATTGATCAATCTGAGATTATAGCCTTTGATATGGCAGAGGCTCTTAATGAGGACCAAGTACCTAAAAATGATGAAATAATAAATATTGATGAGGCAAAGACAACCAATGATGATATGGCCCTTGATGAGGCACATGCCCTTGATAAAGCAAAGATACCTGAAAATAATGAGATCTCACTAAATTATGGAACGAGATAGAATAGAAATAAAATTGTTGTCGACAACATATTCTTATATGTCGTTGCTCTTGATATTGATAATGAGGATCTGGAATTTCAAAACGTCGAAGAGTGTCGATGAAGAAATGATTAGCCAAAATGGAAGGAAATGATATAAGCGGAGCTAAATTCATTAGCTAAACGTGAAGCATTTGGATCTATAGTCCAAACACCTGAGGGTGTTAAGCCTGTTAGGTACAAACGGGTATTTATATGAAAACATAATGAGAAAAATGAAATTATGAGATACAAAGCCCGACTGGTAGCTCAAGGTTTCTCATAGAGACTTGGTATTGATTATGAGGAAACATACTCTCCTATGATTGATTCAACCATATTTAGATTCATAATACATTTGGCAGTCACAGAAAGATTGCATATGTATCTAATGGACGTGGTTATAACATATTTATATAGATCACTAGATAATGATATTTATATGAAAATCCCATAAAGATTTAAAATGCCTGAAATAAAACCACGTACTCCCTCCGTCCTAAAATATATGTCCATTTTTCCTTTTTGGGATGTCCCAAAATACATGTCCCTTTCCAAAAATAGATGTACTTTTTTTCATCACATTCTCAAACTACCCATTTTCCATTTACTTGTTTTAGTTGTTTAGTATCTTACAAGGTTAAAAATGGAACTTCACTCATTATTAAGTACATTTCCATAAAAAGTTGGAATCCCAATACATCCCAACTATTTTGGGACAGAGGGAGTAGTATATACTTGATCAAATTACAATGATCCTTATATGGAACGAATGTGGTACAATCGCCTTAGCGATTATTTACTCAAAAAAGGGTACGTGAACAATCATTTTTGTCCATGCATTTTTATTAACAAATTAGAATCTGGTTGTTATTGTTGCAGTGTATGTTGATGATCTGAATCTTGTGGGAACATTGTACGAAATTGAAAAGACGGCCACTTATTTAAAGAAAGAATTCAAAATGAAAGATCTCGGAAAAACAAAATTCTGTCTTGGCCTGCAAGTTGAACATTTTTCAAGCGGTATTTTTATCCATCAATCAACATATACTGAATAGGTTCTGAAACGTTTTTATATGGATAAAACTCATCCATTGAGCTCTTCAATGGTTGTCCGATCACTTGACGCCAAGAAAGATCATTTTCGTCCTCGCGAGGATGATGAAGAACTCTTTGGTCCTGAAGTGCCATATCTTAATGCGATTGGTGCTCTTATAATTCTGCACCAACTCGCAGACATTTAGAATGGAATCAAACACATATTATGATATTTTTGTGGTACAATTGATATTGGTTTATTCAAAAGCACCAAATTCTCAATTAATTGGATATGCAGATACTGGTTATCTCTCTGACCCACATAAAGCTTATTCACAAATAGGATATGTGTTTACCTGTGGCGGCACTGCTATATCATGGTGATCTATGAAACAGATAATGATTACAACTTCTTCAAATCATTTAGAGATACTCGCAATTCATGAGGTAAGCAGGAAATGCATTTGGTTTAAGCCAATGATCCAATATATTCGAACAACATGTGGTCTTTCATCAATAAAAGATAGCCTAACATTATTATATGGAGATAATCCGGCATGCATTGCACAGATGAAAGAAGAATATATTAAAAGTGACAGGACCAAACACATCTCGCCAAAGTTCTTTTATGCACATGAACACCAGAAAAATGGTGATATTGATATTAAAAAGATACGTTCATGTGAAAATCTAGCATATTTATTTACTAAAATGTTTCCAACTACAACATTCAAGACACTGGTGCACAACATTGGAATGCGTCAACTAAAGGATCGATCTTCGGGGTTAATCTAATGCAACAGTAAGGGGAAGAAATTGATCGAAGAGGTATTAAAATACTATACTTTTTTTCTTTCGTCCAGGTTTTGTCCCACTGGATTTTTCTGGCAAGGTTTTAATGAGATAGATTTAACCTATGTAATACCATTTTCAGATACACACGAATATTTTACTCTTTTTCCTTCGTTGGGGTTTTGTCCCATTGGGTTTTTCCTTAACAAGGTTTTAACTAGACATATTCTTAGTGTAGTATTGTAGACCCTAAGTAGGAGTGTTAAATATATACGATTGTGTGGGGTCCACTTGTACTTGTAATGTGATAGGAAGCCTTGGTGTGCAGCTTGATAAACAAGCTGCCTGTTGCCCACGTTTTTTTATGGCTATAAATAGGCACCATATTTATACAATTGAGAAGTGAAGAAATGAAAAAAAAAACACAAAAAAACATCTTTCTCTCTCTTATACTTTGCCTTTCTTAATATGTTGAAAGCTTTTTTACTTTCTCTTTCTTAATATTACTATATATATATATATATATATATATATATATATATATATAAGAATCAATGAATTGTCAGACATTGATTGAAACATTATAAATGGAGAGAGAGTCTATCTTATTGATTACTTCTTGGTCATAAATTAATTGTCTACACCTTTTATCTGACTGTCAATAGAGTAAACCTAAGGAGTATGAGTATAATTAACCCTATTATTTATTTATTTATTATTTTTTTTTTATAATATTATTAATTTAACATTCTTACATAGAACTAATAAAAATAAAAATATATAAATGATCACATCATTGTAGACACACTATGAATGAATTTGATAATTCATTCCCAACTAATATAATAAATAAATAAAATAGTAAACTTCATCTTCATAAGAAGTTAGGTTTTTAGGAGGGACAATTTTGAAGGTAGCATAAGAGAATTTGTGCAAGAATTCTTATTCAACAATCGTCAAAAACTCAAATAGGCCGTTACTTAATATATAATATATTTCCTTTGTCCCACAAAAAAATATCTACTTTTTTATTTTTTAGTTAACTCCAAATAATTGTCTGAATTTAAAATCCAATACACTTACTTTTAATATTCATAATATACTGTCAAAAAGGAATTTTTTTTTTTTTTTTTTTTTTTTCGAGAGAAAGTAACGTTAATGGTATGCTTGAAAATTTATTGGTCCACAACTGAATCATTTATTCCAAGTGGGACCCATCCGCACAATTATTGCGTATGAGTTTGCTTCAACATAGACCTCACCACAGATCTAATATCCCTACTCCCAACACTCTTTCACGCTTGCAATATGCAACGCATTGCTGCGGCCAAAATGCTGAACGTGATCGAAAATTGCGGAGTATCGCCACCGCCAGGTGCGGTGGCCGATCAGTTTCTCCCACTCAGTTTTTTCGACTTTCCGTTTCTACTAATACCTCCCGTCCAAAAGCTTCTCTTCTATGAGTTCCATCACTCTAAGCCCCACTTCACAGAGTCCCACATTCCTCATCTGAAACACACACTCTCTCTCACTCTCAAACACTTTTTCCCTCTCGCAGCTAACCTGATAATTCCCTCATCAAATTCTAGCAAGCCTGAAATTCGTTACTTAGAGGGTGACTCCGTTCACCTGACCTTTGCCGAGTCAGGTGACGATTTCGATTACCTTACCGGAAATCAAGAACTAAATGCCTATCAATTTCATCCCCTCATCCCTCAGATGCCAGAGGCTTATAACACCGTGTTGGATTCCGGCACCATACAAGTAGTCCCACTTGGAGCTATTCAGGTCACCCTATTTCCCGAGTCCGGCGTTTGTTTCGGGTTCGCCTACCTCCATGTTCTGGCGGACGGTAAGGCCTTCAACGGTTTCATCAAGTCATGGGCTTCCATTACTAAATTTGGCAGCGATGCGCCAATTTTAGCTGGTGGGAACCTCCCATTTTGCGACAGGACTATGATAAAAGACCCCGTTGGGCTAGATACATTGTACTGGAGCCAAGTTTGTGATGGTAATAAATTTGTAAACCAGAGTAAAACTACTGATAATGTTCGAGCCACATTCGTCATAACCAAAACTGATGTTCAACGACTCAAGGAATCGGTTATGGCCAGCCGTAAACGACAACATTGGACAGTACCATTACATGTATCGACATTCACGGTAACATGTGCTTACATGTGGGTTTGCATTTTAAAATCACGGGCAAGGACTAAGGTGGACGAGGATGACGAAGATGATGAATTGGATCACTTCATTTTCACTGCAGATTGTCGAGAACGTTTGGATCCGCCCATGCCCGCAACTTATTTTGGTAATTGCTTAGCTATTTGTACTGCGACGGCAAGACATGGTCAACTAATGGAAGAAAAAGAAGGGTTTTTTGTAGCAGCAGAGTCGTTTGGAGAGGCCATTGCCACAAGGCTTCACAATGGCGAGCCTGAGGGAGTGTTGAAAGGTTCGGAGACTTGGATCTCGAGTTTTAAAAGTTTGAAACGGGAGCGAGTGATGTCGATAGCAGGGTCACCCAAGATCGGCCTCTACGAACCGGATTTTGGGTGGGGGAGGCCCCGAAAGAGCGAGATTGTTTCCATAGATCTTACGGGGGCCTTCTCAATCAGTGAGTGCAAGGACTCGCAAGGAGATGTGGAGGTTGGTGTGTCCTTCCCAAAGACCACAATGGATGCATTTGCTTCGATCTTCGTCCGTGGCCTTAAGCTTCTGTAAGCATTTAATAATTTCGTCCTTCGCCTGTTGCATGGCCCACATTTTAAATTCCAGGAAATTAAAAAATGAATGCTGATGGATGTTCTTTCATTTCTATCCTCATCTTCGCTTCTGAGTTGGATTTATCAATATAACTGCTTTAATAAATGTGTCCCTGCAATCTTCGCTTATGAGTTGATGGATCAATATAACTTTTCTGCAGTTTCTGTTCCCTAGAAGTGGTTTGAGATTTTTGACATATGGTGAGAATATGAACCAAATTCTGTCCGGTAATTTTTTTTTTTCCTACATCACTATGCTGTGCAATTTCACCACAATTATTTTGAAATTTAATAAATATCTACCACCAATACAAGTGGTAAGATTTGTTTTTCCCCAAAAATTCAAGTAACTGTACAATTCACAAAATAATAACCCTTGGGAACTCCAACTGTAACCTCCATTTCGAAAAGGAGAGATTTGTATATGGTGTTAATTGCAAAATAGTACAAAAGAACGTTTAAAATTTGGTCTTTATAATGGTGTATTTAAAATTCATCATTGAAAGTGCTAGAAGTGTGATGGGGAGGATTTTGAATCACGAATCTAAAGGTAAAATTAAAAGGTCCTTGACGAAGACAAAAATTCTTTACTTCTTTTATGGCAAAATTATTGAGTCCAGCAAATTTCATTCGCAAATCATCCTTCAGAATTCTTAGCTCTTCTCTACGTGGTTGTGTCCAATTTCTGTGGGATCAAGTCTAAAGGCTCAGTTTAAGTTTGAATCTGTCTGAGTTCAGTCTAAGAATTCATTTGAGTTCAAGTTGGGTCAAAGAAATTATAACATAAACTTTGGTTGGTTGATTCCATTGATTTGGAATAGTTGGAAGGAAATATAGTTGTATTCTCGGAGAGTTGTATATTCTATCAACAAATTAAGCCACTTGACAGAATTCATTATTGCGAAATCAAACAGAAAACACAAGAAATAGATTAAACACACACATAACAAAAACACACAGATTTTACTTGGTTCACCCAAAATCTAGGGGTACGTCCAAAGGTTGTAGGGATTTCACTATGATGATCAAAAATAGCAGCGGATGCAGAAAGTTCAGAATGAATAAATACCTTCGCACTAGGACAACATAACAAGTGCGAAAATAACCAAAATGCCCTCAAAAAAATTTCAAGTCGGGGGTAAGCCCCCGAACCCCTACCTTCAAGCAGGGGGGGCTCTGCCCCCTGTGACCCCCTACCAACTTACAGCAAAGTTAGATTCGCGGAGTTGAGGCTTGGTGTACAGTGTCTATTAGGCTCCACACTACCCATCAATCTCCCACTTAGAGACTGATAAACATCAAATTGTCAACTCCTATATGTCTTCATACATAGCAAAACACCACAACAACTCACTCCTTTGTCCTCAAACTTGAACACTAGTTGAAGCTAAACAAAGCTTCAGTTTCTCAATTGTCACTGCCTTTATTAACATATCTGCTGAATTTTTACTCCTATGGATCTTCTCAAGTGATAAACATCAAACTGTCAACTCCCATATGCCTTCATACATAACAAAACACTATAGCAACTCACTCCTTTGTCCTCAAGCTTGAACACCAATTGAAGCTAAACAAAGCTTCAGTTTCTCAATTGTTATTGCCTTGGTTAACATATCTGCTAGATTTTTACTCCCATGGATTTTCTCAAGTGATAAAACTTTATCCTCTAAGTGTAAGCGTATGAAATGGTACCTCAAATGTATATGCTTTGTTCTGGAATGGAACGCCGGATTTTTAGCAAGATGAATAGCACTATGACTATCACTGTATAAAATACTATTCTTATGCTTCTTACCTAATTCTTCCAAAAAACCCTGCAACCAAATCATCTCCTTGCTAGCTTCTGTAATTGCAACATATTCAGCTTCTGTGGTCGATAGAGCCACAATCTTCTGCAACTGAGAGACCCAACTCATTGCAGTACCACTCAAAGTATACACATACCCCGTAGTACTCTTCCTATTATCCATATCACCAACCAAGTCTGAATCAATATAACCATGCAATGCAACCCCTTTCCCAGTAAAACATAGTGATGTTTCTGTGGTACTCTTCAAGTATCTAAGGATCCATTTTACCGCCTCCCAATGATGCTTGCCTGGATTACTCATGTACCTGTTTACAACTTCAACTGTATGTGTTATATCCAGTCTATAAACCATGGCATACATTATGCTGCCAATAGCTGAGGCATATGGAATTCTTTCCATGTATGCTCGTTCTTCCTCTGTCTTGGGTGACTGTTCCTTAGTTAGTCTGAAATGACTAGCTAATAGGGTGCTCACTAGTTTTACATCTTGCATGTTGAACCTGCTGAGAACCTTTTTAACATACTCTGTTTGTGACAACTTCAGAGTACCACCCACTTTATCTCTGCAAATCCTTATGCCAAGAAATTTTGTTTTGCTTCACCCAAATCTTTCATCGCAAAATGTACAAACAATTGTTTCTTCAGATTTTTAATCTTCTCAAGACTTGACCCAACAACCAACATATCATCAACATACAATAGTAATATAATGTAGCTGTTATCAAACCTCTTAACATAACAACAATGATCTGCATAGCATCTCGTGAAATAATTACTGCACATGAATCCATCAAACTTCTTATACCATTGTCTGGGGGCCTGCTTCAAACCAAACAAGCTCTTTTCCAACTTGCATACCAAACCCTGCTTTTCTAGCACTGTGAATCCCTGTGGTTGTCTCATATAGATATCTTCCTCCAAATCACGATGGAGAAAGGCAGTTTTCATATCTAACTGCTCTAAATGTAAATTTTCTGCAGCAACAATTCCAAGCACCAATTTGATTGTAGTCAACTTCACAACCGGGGAGAAAATCTCAGTGTAGTCAACACCATGCTTTTGCTAAAATCCCTTGACAACCAATCTGGCTTTCTAACGCTTGTTGCCATCATATTCTTCCTTAATTCTATAAACCCTCTTGTTATGTAAAGCCTTTTTACCCTTTGGTAGTTCAGTTAGCTCCTATGTCTGATTTGACATGAATGAGTCCATCTCATCCTACATAGTTGACTCCCACTTGGTTGAATCACCAACCTGCACTGCTTCATCATAACTCTCTGGTTCACTACTATCAGACAATAACAAATAGTGTAAAGAAGGCGAGAAACGTTGCGTAGTTTTGGAGACTCTAGAGGATCGTCTCAATGCAGTAATAGGTGTGCCTTATTCCACCCGTGGAACTATATTTTTTGGATTGTTCTGAACTCTCCTCTGCATATCTTCCTCGGAGAGTTCCTCCAACTCAGCAAACTTATCATTTTCAGCGTGAGCACTTGCATTAGTAGAATCTGATGCTAACCGATCCTTATACATTACTTTCTCATTGAACACGACATCTCTGCTTCTAATTATCTTTCAGTTTTGATCATCCTAAAATCGATAACCAAACTCATCAGTGCCTTACCCAATATAAGTACATTTTTTTGACTTTGGATCAAGCTTGCTTCTAGCATCAGAACTTATATGTACATATGAAACACAGCCAAACACTTTTAGATGTGAAAGGTTTACCTCTTTTTTGATCCAAGCCTCCTCTGGTAAGCCTCCATCCAAAGGAATAGAAGGTCCGCGATTGATCAAGTATACTACAGTGTTAACTGCATCAGCCCAAAACATCTTAGGCAATCCAGCATGTATCCTCATACTCCGAGCACGCTCATTCAAGGTTCTGTTCATACTTCCTGCAACCCCATTTTGTTGCAGGGTTGGAGGAACAGTCTTATCCATTCTAATCCCATTAATAGCACAGAACTCTTTGAAGCCTCTGTCTTCATACTCACCACCATTATCAGACCTCAAACACTTCACCTTCAAGCCTGTCTCATTCTCCACCATGGCCTTCCACTTCTTGAAAGTATTATATACTTCAGATTTATTTTTCAAAAAATAAATCCATACCTTTCTCGTAGAATTATCGATAAATGTAACATAATACAATGAGCCGCCCAAATATGAAACTGGAGAAGGTCCCCACACGTCTGTATGAACCAACTCTAATTTCTCTGTCTTAAGTGTCTTGCCAACCTTTGAAAAATTGACCCTCTTTTGTTTCCCGAAGATACAGTCCTCACACAAACCAATTTCAACTAATTTAATACCTGACAATTTTCCTTTCGACAAAAGTACCTTCATCCCCTTCTCACTCATGTGACCTAGTCTACAATGCCATATGTTTGAATCTACGTTAGCATCAGCAACAATAATGGCATTCTTGGTGTTTGTTGTCATGTATAGAGTACCTGTCTTGCTTCCACGAGCCACGACCAAGGATCCCTTGGTGATTTTCCACAAGCCACCTACAAATTTAACTGCGTGCCATCGTCATTAAGTTGTCATACAGAGATCAAATTTCTCTTCCAGCCAGGAACATGTGTGATACCCCTCGGATTCGAGATACGGGTTGATCAGGCCCACGCCCGAGCCCGAGGGAATATCAAACAATTAATATTTTATAATGAACACGGAATACAAAACGAATTAAGAATTGAAATTAAAGCTGAAAGGAAACTAAAAATAGAATCAGCAAAATAATATAATTATTAAAATCCATCAAACCCAAACTCCAAAACTCCATCAGTTTACAACTCGGGAATCCATCTCTAGTGGACCCCTATTAAACATCCAAACGAAAAATAAAGCAACTGTAATAAACATCCAGAAATAAACTATGGAGTGAGTCCTACATCGTCGGAAGAGTGAATAGAGACCTCTGCTCAGCACGAACACGTCTAAGCCTGGAACTGTCGTGTACCTGAAAAATAGAAGTGGGTCAGGCCCACGCGCAAGTTCTATACTACTACAATCCAAACAGAGGCCCGATACGCATGTACATCCTAAACAATTTAACAATAACTAATAGTCCGTAAATATATATATAGTCACACTAAAGGACTCTCACTGGACTACAAGCCGGTCTCAACCTGAATAGA